TTACATCTCAGAGTCTGGACAGAAAAGCTCTGACATTGTGGTTTCTCTTTTTCCTTTTATTTGGGCTTTGGGATTTTATTAATTAATTTTCTCATCACTGCTACAAAATATCTGATAAAAGCAACTTGGAAAAGGGAGGGCTAACTTAGGCTCACAGTTTGAAGCTCACAGTTTGTTTCAGCTCACAGTCTGAGGGATAGGATTTTCAGTGGCAGTAGAGCATGGTGGCGGTGCGGGCCAGCTGGTGGCAGAATCATGGGGTGGCGGGGTCCACTGTGTCTGCAGTCTGGAAGCAGGGACAGACAGGATGGGGGACTGAACTCTAAAACCTTAAGCCCTTCCTCTAATTACACACCTCCTGAACGCTCAAGAACATTCTACAACAGCACTGCTGGCTGGGTGCTAAAACTTTGAGTCTATGGGAACATTTCACATTCAAGACAAACAGACTCTAAAACGCTCATCTGTAACTAGACAGCAGTAGTTAGCAACCTGTATGTCCTCACAGGTATAATGTCTTACACTCCAAATCTTTTTTTTTTTTTTCTCAAGAAAATGTACTTTTTCTGTACTGGAGAGATGGCTCCAGTGGAAAAAGTGCTTGTTCTCAAGCCTGACCAAGTTTTCATTCCCAGAACCCACACGGCAGGAGAGAACCGACCTCTGCAAGCTGTTCTCTGACCTCTACATGTGTGTTGTATCATGGATACCCACCCTTGACCACACACACAGAGAGACACACACAAATGTAAGGCAGGGGTGGAGAAAAAGTAGTCAGTGCTAATAGGTTTGCTAAATTTAATGTAATCACGATAATGGATTTGTATATGGCTGGAAACTTCCTATGGTCATTATTGGAATCAAAACTCTCTCTCTGAGACAGGGTTTCTTGGTGTAGCCTTGCCTGTCCTGGACTCACTTTGTAGATCAGGCTGGCTTTGATCTCACAGATTCACCTGCCTTTACCTCCCCAAGTGCTGAGTCTCTTTTAGAATTACTTTTGCTACTTAATAGCTGGCACAATAGTCATCAATTTCAACAGAGTAAGATAATAATTGATGTGTTTGACGTGAGTTTTCAAGTGAGACTTCTCTTTTTGAAATGAGTCATTTATGCACTAACCAGAGGTTGGTCTCCTTATTGTAAGTGACAAATTTAAGCTTCTCTAACATCTGGGAAACAGGCATTTTCTCTGTTTCTCCCTGCTAAAGTGACACAGTGGGTGGCAAAGGCTTGGCTGAGACTCGGGTGGTGTGGTCCTGCAGTTTGTGCCCTGTGTGTCTACAGCCTGATGTGCCTCTACCTAGGAAGTGGCCTCACTGTACTCACAATTACAGCCACAGCTACTCAACAGCTGCTGGAGAACAACCATTTTGTGGCCTTTGACTCTTTACTCCAGCTTAGAAATTAGGTATCATTCAACTCCTAAAATTTTGCTTAGAATTTTAAAACTTAAATACAGACTGAAACAGGAGCCAAGCAGGAGCTTCGTGGGTAAATGTTGCTGTGGCAGCATGAGGACCCCAGATTAGATCCCAACACCTGGGTAAAGATTGCTGGGCAGTCTGCACATGTGACCTCAGGGCTCGGGGTCTGGGGCAGAGACAAGTGAAATCTCAGCGCCTGCTGGCCAAACAGCTAAAATGACAATCCCTAGCTTCTGGGAAAAAAAAAAACTATCAAAAAAGACGGAAACCAACAGAGAAAGACTCACAAAGCTGACCTCTGGTCTCTGCCCCTGCTCACTAACACATACACGCACACACTTACATACTCACACGTACATGACAGAAATAGAAAAGGGCATTCACTTTTTGTGAATAATCTGTAATCAACCTTAATGAATTGCCTCAACAAACTTCTCAAAAGAAAAACATTTTGCCACATCCATCCTTACATCCTTGAATGTTCTCTTGCTTCCCATCAATCTGAGGGAAATGCTTGTGTCAGGCTGGCTTATTTTAAATATGGCCTCTTTCTCCCTGTTCCCTGGTGACTTTCAAAGCTTTTATGTAACAACAAACCTATGGAAGTTAGATAGAAATGGCCTCACCATCACAGGACCGTTCTTTGCGACACATTCTCATTGTTTTGTTTTGTACCCTGCACAAGGCTGTCTGTGGTTAGCAGTTGTGTTCAAGGAGAAATTCAATGTCAAGTGGAGGATGGAATAACTTCTTAAGAAGTTATGTTTTGAGAATGGATAGATATTAGGTGATAGACGAATGGATGAATAGATAAAGGCTATATAACATGACAGATGATAAATAGGTAGATAGATGATAGATGATATATATATATATCTATCTATATATATCTATATATATATATCTATCATATATATATATGATAGATAATAGATGATAATGTGTAGGATAGTAGATTGGTAGATAGGTATCTATATATGTAGACAGATAAAAGATAGATAGATAGATAGATAGATAGATAGATAGATAGATAGATAGATAGATGATAACCAGACATGTGAAAGAAACTGCATTCTCTGCTTCTGGAAAAAATAAATCCATAAAATCTGTCCTAGTTTTTGAGCTAGTTCAGGCTTGAAAGATCTGAATTAAAACAGAACTCTAAGCTGTATTGACTACTGTTATTAAAGCAAGGGTGTATCAATGGGTAGCATGCTCATCCACCCATCCATCCATCCACCCATTTATGCATCCATCGACCCACCATCAATCTCCCTATCCATACATCTATCTGTTCACCCATCCATCCTTACATTCATTCATTTAGCTATCTATCCATCCACCCATCTGTCCATCCATCTGTTCATCTACCCACTATTTATCCATCTATCCCCACCCATTCATTCATCTACCCACTATCCATCCATCCATCCATCCATCCATCCATCCATTTATTCATCTATCCACTCATCCATCCACCCTCATATCCACCCATCCATTCATTTGTCTACCCATCCATCAATCCATCCATCATCCCTCCATCTATCCATTCACCCATATAACATCCATCCACCCACCATCCTTCCATCCATTCATCCACTCAATCATCCATCCACCCACCAACCATCCATCTATCTATTTATTCATCCAAAATTAAATTGGGGCCTTGCTCTGTCTCATTACTGTGCTAGGCACTGGAACACTGCAAAGAAAATAATAATGTTAGGGCTTATAAAATCAGTAGATAAGACTAAAGATGACAGAACCGAAGCTGTCCTTAAGCACCAGGATCACCAATAAACTATGATCTTAAGTCTGGCTATCTAGAAGCAGATCCCAAGATGATGATTCTTCCTCAAAAAATTGGTTGACACCTGTATCACAGTGAGGAAGTAGGTCAGATCAGAGTTTCAAGTTCACCAAGTTTCAGGTTCTGTTGAGCAGATGTACAGCCTCGCTTTGGTTCTGCTGAGAGCTGTGAGGTGTAGGTAGCGCTTATGGTACTCTTCTCTGAGGCAAGAGGGACAGGATTTTTTATCCTTGGGAATAAGGTGTGACCTCTCTGACACTTCTAGAATAGTTGACACCAATCAGGTGAAGATGTGTGTGTGTGAAATGACTGCTGATTTAGCAGCCAGGACTCAGCAATGGGGAGATGAATGCCTATTCTGAGGGGGACCCAGAGGTTGTCAGCAGCAGTGCTACAGTGCATGGCTTTCGTGTTGGAGGCCTGCCTGCCATTCCAAATGAACACACAGAATGGTTTGTGTTGTCTGGTGCTGCATGCATCCACCATCGGACGCACGTCAGATGACGTGGTTGGCCTGTGCGGTATGAGAAACAAGCTGACTCTCCACATGGAATCATGTCCAGTGCAGGAAAGTTCTCCAGTTGTTACTCTCTTCTCACAGTCTGGGACTGTGTGTCAGGAAGCAGATGCCACCAGTCATCATACAGGATGTTCAACAGGAAGTGCCCGTAGGATCAGTGCTGGTGGAAGGGAGAGGTGAAGCAGGAGCAGGAGGGGGGTGCAGAGTGTGAGACAGCCATGGGGTGCTCTGGGGAGAGATGACTTGCCAGAGCTGTCTACCTCAGGCTGGGGTGATCTAGTGTATGTGTTCCTTTCCTCCTACATTGGATGACCTCTGAAACTGCATCCTTAGATAAGGCTCTCTGAAGCTGAGGCCACCCCTGCAAGGGCAGCTGGAGGCTCTGCAGCTGGCCAGTGGACCCTCCCTGGAATGGGATCAGTGACATAAACCTGGGGACATGACTTGCAGCGTCATCTCATGCTCACTGTCATTTGCAGAAATCAATTCCCTTCATTAAAGCTGTTTTCACATTGTGAGGAATAGAGTAATGGGGCCACATTGAAAAACCTACAGTTTAGTTAATGCTTTTGTGTCTAAAGTTAATTCGAGGCCTCTAATGCAGATCTGTCTTCACCTAAAACTAGACAGTTTTGCATTCTGAGGTTTCTCTTTACTTAACAACAGGTATCGTGGCAAGCGTTTTACATGTTTTATATTATTCAATGCTCACAAGAATCATATGTGGTAGATGATGTTACTCCCTATTTCATAGATGAGAAAATTTCATAGCAGTGAAGCTGCCTGACCCGTGGAGCTACATCATCTGTATTTGAACCACAGTCTAATTCTGAAGCTAAAAAAACTACCAGCTAAGGCCAATCGTGAAAACATTTTCACTACCTTTTACTCTCAGTTAACATACTCATTCATCCATATTCTCTGAACACATCCTATACCAGGCCCTGTGATAGCTTGGTAATAGAGAGTTAACAGAGAAACCCCCAAGAATATCCATGTATGTATGCATGTATCAAGGCATCATAAGTCACCTCCACTAATGTGTGCAATTTTAATTCCTTTATGGAGCATTGAAACTTTTAATTAAGGAAAACCTCTGAAGATGGTCTTATGTGAATGAGTCCTCATAGGTCATTTCCCAGCTTGTCTGTGTGTTTATAATTGTCTCAAGAAGTTAATACAAATCATGTGAACTTTGGATATTTGCCAGGAACTGAATTCACTGTTTCCAACTTTTTGGCAGGCTAAAAGGGACGCTAAACGAATGTCTGCCAGAGAAGTCTCTATTAATGTTACAGAGAACATCCGACAGATGGACAGAAGTAAAAGAATCGCAAAGAACTGCATCAATTAGCAGTGCCTGGATGTAGAAGCAGATGAACTTCTTTGTGGAGTCCAGTCAAAGAATCCTGAGGAAGTGGGCGCCACTTGCTAATCCTGGATGCCTCTGAGCATCTTGAGAGATGGCTTGACCTGGCAACACACCTAAGCTGTGAGGACCTTCTTAGCTTCCTGTTTATCACATACAGAAAATGTATTGAAAAGTCCTGAAATGTTCATGGATTGCCAAACTATGGTCTGTCTGTTTTTCCCTCTGCAGCTTCTGTAGCATGGTCTGCTGTGGCCGTGGCGAGTGGTTACATGGGTCAGTGAACAACACAGAAAGGCAGGAGTGGTAGCTTTGCTGGAACCAGGCTCACACATTAGTGTAAGGCTTTCACAGGAAAGCCCACTCTTCCCTCCTTTCTTTCCAAATACAGCCATCACAAACTTTACTGCTTTCACTGAAGAGATGGCTCCCACCCAGCCCTAGACCCAGAAATATAAGAACCGGAGGAACATAAAAACTCGGTGTGAGATAGATCAGTGCCAGCGTCACAGGCTAACTCCACCAGAGCCTCTGGAGTGTCCCTGAGGGGTGTCCATGACACACACAGACATGTTCCTCTTCTACTTGGAAAGACCTCCCAGGCTGGCCTCCAGACACTGACTCCAGAACCAGAATGTCTCATGTCTGTGGCCATTGAGCCTATCTACAACTCCCTTTGGGACCTAGCTTTGTGGTTTGATTTTGTTTGTTTGTTTGTTTGCTTGTTTTCATAGCTTTCCAGTTTCTTTTTATTCTCATGGCCTTTGAACCTCCAGTCAGGTCATTTGCAATTGTAATCAACTGGACACCACTCACAGGAGGGAAGTGACCTCAGAACACATGACCGTACATGTGATGGCCCTTTGGCCTTGCTGTACACAGCCCCAAGGACTATGCTATTTTGGTATCTGCAGAGTAATTAGTTTAGAAAGGCAGAACCCAGTTGCTGTGTATTCATGTTGACATTAGACTGACAAGGCACTGGATTGGAAAACAGACAGCCAACACAGTAAAATGATGTTCTGATAGGAATCTTCTTCTAGCATTTTTAAACACATCTTCTTGCAAAGTGTAACATAGCATGAATCTGAAAGGACTGCCTGCGTGCTCAGGCTTAGGAAAAGTAGAGTCCAGGTTGTGCCAAACTACCAACAAACTCCATATTTAGCAGCAATAGCAGTCTGATGACATATGACTCAGTCCAAGAGAAGTGACGTAAGCAGGCTAAAATGCAGATGCTCGCCCCTTTCTCAGAAATTATTTCTCCAACACAAGTAGAACTGTGGACTGTGTATTTGTTAGTATTAAACATTCACTGCCAACCTTGTGCCGGCTATGGTAACAGCCGCGGCGGGATGTGGAGTCTGGCCAGTCACGGCTGTACCTTCTGACTGACTACAGGGCGCCTGATACTCAGGAGACTGACGTGGACCCTCTGGCACAGGGCCAGTTATTGCAGTGGACTCTCTCTTTTAGGTTAAAGGTAGCGTTCTGTTAATCACAGATGTATGCATTCGCCTGATCACTGTCCAAGCCTTTGCCACGCACACCAGTTTCCCCAAACCTCTCATCTTGACTCCTTGTCAAAGGGCTTTTAGGGGACTTCATGTTCTGACAACTTAACTAATAAAACAAAAGCAAGCCCGGTGACTCCTGTGTCCTCAGTGGCTTCACTCGGCAGGGGTTCTGCCGCAAGGTTGGCAGCCTCCGATCCTGCGAGTCAAGGGCTTGCTCTCCTGGGCATGCGCGCTGTATTGACATGCTGCTTCCCCACTTGATGCGCTAGCAGCCACGCAAGGCCTGACTCTCTTCCCAGCTCTGCGTTTGCCTCAGTTCACTGATGCACGTTGTTTGGAATTTACCATCTGGAGAAGCTGTCTCTGAATAGACAGCAACACATTCTCACTTTGAGAGGAGAGGGAACGGAGGAAGGGCCTGTGATCCGGTCACACCATTGAAATTTCCATCTGGCAACTTTTAAATGTGTGTTTAAGGCAGGAATGGATTCTTACTCTCCTATCGGGATAACACTTTCCATTTCGGAGTTTGAGTCAATAAAGTCATTAATTTCAAACATATGTGGATGGTTACAGAGAGTCTTTACTGGACCCCTAACTGTATGCACAGCTGTTTAGAATTTTCTTTCTTTAAACAAAGGCGTTTTACATAAGTGATTTCTGTGATTTTTTTTCAATCAGCCTCGTGAATTAGGTGAATTAGGTAAGGGGAATGCAATTAGCTCCAACTTACACTTGCAGAGGTATTTATAGTCTTCTCAGCCAGGATTTGGTGAACTGTGATGCCAGACAAGAAAGTCAACCTCCAGATCAGGGCTTTCCCCACTGTCTGGTGCCTGTCTCAGAATGGTCAGCATAGTTGGACTTCAGCCCTCTAGAGGGAGAGCTGTCATGTATGGAAGCTGAGCCAACCCCAAGCTTAAGAGGACAGGAGGTGATTGATTGGAGAGGGCTTCGATGAGAGAGTAGGGTCTGGCCCAGATCAGCCTTCCGGACAGGGTGAGCCTGACCTTGTATGAGAAGGCACTTGGATTAAGGTCAGGAAGAAAGTTTATGATTCAGGGAAGGCAGAAACTGAACTCCTTGTAATAGCTGCCAAGACATAGAGAGCTGCCTCGGCTGCTGCCCATCTCTGTGGTGCTCCCCGCACCAGACCCGGGTGTACTATGTCAAAGACCTACCAGCCTCCATTTGTGGCCGCTCCCCGGTGTCACAGAAATACCTCCCTCCCATATCTGCTTCCCTAAGCAGGGTTTCCAAGCAGGGGGCTCTCCTGCTGAAGTCAGATAAAAGGCATGCTTTATTCAGCTGTCATGCTGCCCAAACCTTGGAATGCCGTGTACACAGCTCCAGCAGGCGCCCTCACTGAGCACTGCAGACACGCGCTCTCCTTTTCAGATAGTCGTGTGTTCTGTTCGAGTTCATAGTCCCCTTTTCTTCCTGCTGCTTAGAATGTGGAGGTAAAAACTAGAGCAATATTGGTTCACTGGGCTGTCAAGTAAGTGGCTTTGGAAGTCATAGCTGTGCCAAATTGAGAACTAGTTAGAAGCCCGCGTTCCTAATTCCGTGCGGCCTCCCTGTGCCCTGAACTGTATATATGGTTAGACCACTTAGACCACTTGCTTTATTTAATCTACTCTTCCAGGTTGTACTTCACCAGCAAACTAATTTAAATTGGTGTAGAAAGTTTTATCTTTTTTGAAGAACTGGAAAGTCTCTGTCCCTGAGTCCCTCGACACCAAATTTTCTGGAGCTGATGTTGGCACGGGCTAGAACTGGCACCTCCAGCTGGAGACACTCCTACCGCTCATGTGGCTGACACACAGCATGTCTGCATCTGTCGCCTGCCCGAGGGGCATGACTGTGCAATGCCGACTCCAAATACTCCAATCTGTCTTCCCAAATACCTGGCTTTCTTCTTCTTTTAAGGGTCATTCAAATGCAGATCGTCCACTCATCATTTCTACAAGCAGCTAATCTTGAGAAATGTTTCTGAAGAGGCAAATTGTAAATATGATCCAACAGCTAAAATTATTCATTTATTCACTTTCATGTACTGCATTTATTAAAATGCTTCAAGGTGCCAGAAATAAGAAATTATTGCATTTATTTATTTATTTATTTATTTATTTATTATTACTTGCTTGTTGTACTAGGACATTATCTCCATAAGGACAGGGACCAAGTCTATTTCCAATTTCTAGCGCATTGAAGATTTCCAATAAATATAGACTGCATTTTGATCTTATTCACCCCAACCTTCCTGGATCCCTTTTCCACCCCTGCTGGCCTCTTCTTCACCACTATCCTTCTCCTAGTTTCACGTTAAGGCCTTCTTTTAGTGAGACTGTTTGCACAGCATTCTCCAGCCCCTGTCTGTGGCGGTAAGAAAGTGTGCTGCATTAGTGTAGAGAAGACAGCTTCCCTGGGCTTCATGTCCTGCTCTCAGAAGGAAGAGGAGTCAGGCTGTCCGCACGGAACATTTTCTACAGTGCCCTTCACTCCGAATAATCGTTATGCCAAAGTGACATCTCTGAGGTTGCACATTCTATGACTCTTCCTGGCAATTTGGCTAATTTATTAAAATTACACTCTTTCAACAATTCCATTTTGAGCTATATGTGTTACAGACTGAACTGCATAGCCTTCAAACTCAGATGCTGGGTCCTAAATCTGTCTGTACAGAACGTGGTTAATTTGTAGATGGGTGTTAAAAGTGGCGGCTAAGACAAACTGAGGTTATCTGCGGGGCCGTAATCTACTGTAACCTTCATACTTCTACAAAGGAACAGTTGGGGCACAGAGACACACACAGAGGGGAGCCCCATGTGGCACCAGAGGAAGATGCCCACATACAGACCAAAGGACTCAGGTGAACTTCCTGCTGATCTTTTTGGTCTCGGACATTAAGGCTCTCAGTTATGAGAAAATCTCCGTCTATTGAGTCACCAGGGCTGTGAGACCAGCAAACCCGTATAATACCCTAGAGTACCTGAGTGTTTTGTAAGTTGGGTGTGCAGGCCACTGCTCAGTCTTCTGGAACCCCGCTTCCAAGGAAAAAGAGCAACAGGGGACAGGAGAACACAGTTCCACCGGGACTCTGCTGCCCCTACCTCCCCTGAGCCCTTTAGGTGCTCCCCAGCGGTCTTCCAGGCCGCCTGCCTTCCTTGGCGGAAGGACCTTCTCTTGCTTCCCCCAGGCATGGATTTTCAGGTCACTGTTGCTATGGGTGCTTACTCACTGCCTCCCTCATCCCAGCAGCCTTCACTGGATGCCTGCTTCAGGGAGTCCCTCAGCTTCGGTGGGAAATGTAAGAGCTGTGTTTTATATGAGCCCTAGAACTTTCCCAGACGCACTCACCCAGTTACCCCGCAGGTAGCTCGTTTGATAACATACCCTTGTATTGCTTAGTCTCCAGGGGAGGGGCACTACGGGCTTTGAAATGAACACGTTCCTTTTTCCTGTCTCGTTTTCATTACCACGCCTAAACACCATATATTTCAAAGACATGTTTCCACCACTTCTCTCACCAAGCTTGCTTAGACTATCTGAAAAGTCCTCGGTTGTCAGTGTGCAACTCACAGTGTCCTTGAATCTCTGTTTGAATTCAGTGCCATCACAATTAATTTTGTGGTGGAAAAAAAAAAAACCCAAACAGGTAAATGTTCTGTTTTACTTCAGAGATATAAGAAATGTCTTGGAAAGAAATGCCCCCAAAAGATACCTTGGCAGACATCACCAGCTACATGAATTCATATGCCAAGCAGGTAGTAGAAATAAATTTGTAAATCATGAGAAACAGTAAGATCTGAGAAGAAAAATGCAGGTTGTGTTTCAGAGCACTTGATATTAAAACAACAATGATAACAGAAATCCACGGGCTAAGATAAACAAGTATACCAGGATTTTAAAATCCATACTACAGATGAGAGTTGGACCAGATTCATGACTGGTAATATTTGATAACTGCTCATACTTCGTTTTGACAAATATCTTTGCTCTTTGAACTTGTTCTGCCCATTGGAACCACTCTACTTGAACCTGTTCACCACATACTATCTCTTATGAAGACGCCATAGCAAGCACAGGCAAAGAAAGGGGTCCACAGAGAACACACCACACTGTGGGACGGTCAAGACCAAGCCTCGCTCTCCCCAGAGAAGGAAGGTGATTGTACCAGTGGACCCAACTAAAACACTCTAAGCCAACACTGGTAGCCATGCTGCCTAGCTTGTGATGGCTCTCAAGATTCTGGTTAGTAGCTGCTGGAATATGAGCAAGGTCGGCCATTGTTATTGAGTGGTTAGGGCCCCTAGGACCATTTCATTGCTTTTCATTTTCTTCTCAAGCGTTTACCATCTAGTTCTGCTATTCTAACTGAAACTTTATTCTCTAGGGAAGACAACAACACTTTGTAATTGCCAAGTTCGGTGACAAGTCTGACTCCTCACCCTGCTTGGCCTCTCTGTTTCAGTTTCTTGTTCTTCATAACCTCTCCCCTCCTGGGGCCGTTCTAGCTCTGATCCTGTCACTTGCCTCCCCTCCCCACTCTGTTTGCTGCTTGTACCTGTTCCTTAAGTGTTGATAGTCCTCAAGATTTCCTCTTCAGCTTTCCCTCTCTAGATTCTACCTATGTTTAATTTATTTTTCTTTTGTTTACTTTTTGCCTCTGAACAATTTCCTCTGATCCCATGGCCTGAGTGGTTTATGTCCCAAGTCCTCTGTATCCCAAGCTCCCCATGTGCCTGGATGCATTCATTTGCACGGCTTGTGGGGCAAGGAAGCCTTAGGTTGAGCACTAAGCACGGCTATCTCCTGGCCTCTCTTGCACTCAACTTCCACATTATATAACACTGAGTTTTAACTTCAAATTGTGCCCACAACCACTGGCCCCAGGAAATTCTGACAGGCAGCATCAGAAGGGACTTATGCTTAATCATCTGGGGAAATGTGGAAGTAATCAAGGATCTCATACAATTCCTCTACTGGGTCACTTGAGTTCAATGCAGCAATGTTTGGGTGTTTACTGTCAGAATAAATTTTACAGCTTGACTTTCGTAGATCATGTTCTCTTGGCGGGGTTCCATTTACTATAGGAAGGAATGGGCCAGGGATATAGATAAGTGGGTAGAG